ACGAGCGCCCGCCAACTTTGACTTTGCCCATTTAGTATTTTCGTTTGGTTAAACAGTAACATTATTTCATTTAGTTATTTTTTTTTAATAACCGTCACGTCCGGTCTGGCCATGGTTTACATTCGATTGAATTTACGACTGTTATTCGTTGCATCAAAAAGTTTTAATTTCAAATAATAATATCGGCCAGTTTCCTGCGTTAGGCAATAACACAGATAATGTTTTATTAAAACAATTGTATGTTTTCATAGGACGCAGCTACAGAATTGTTGCCCTACGTCCGCGTTTATATTCTGTTTAATTCAATTACATTAATTAATCGACCTGACAACGAACTTTTTGATTCGGTTACAGCATCCGCCATTTTGATTCTCTATCAGCTCGTAAGAGTTTTATCGGACTTATTCGTGAACTGTATAATAAAATCACAGATAATTTATTTGATGATCGTAAGACAGACAATATCAGCAAACTAGAATAAGTGACAAAAGTCAAGTTTAAATAAAAAACTAATTAAAATAAAAACACTTTCGAAACAGGCTGGCAAAGCTGTCAACTTTGAAAAAAGTGTCACATCAACTGTTTTGGGAATTTTGGCATTTCTAAAAAGAATACGAGCGACTGCTCTAACTATAGAGCTACCGAAATCCAAGGGACAGTTACAGATCTGAGATGGTCTTATAACTTGATTTCGCATCATAATAAATACAGTTATTTTTTTAATAATTAGGAGGTCGATAGCTTTCGGACGAGGAGGTTAAGCAATTCGCAATGCAAAAAATTACTCATACTTTAATTTATTGGAACAGACATAAATAAGTACTTCAACATATTGAAATATCAAGCTTAGAAAGCTCTTGCACATATTTGACACGAGCTCTCCGGCTATTATATTACCTGTCTGCGATGGCATTATGACGTTATTATAATTACATCATTGAAAACAAAATTCATTGCTCAATTGTGTAATAAAAAGAAAATATAACACTCCTTCTGTTGCAATCTTGTAATGGACATTTTAATATATTTAAAAGAAAAGGGTAAATGCCGACAATATTTTATTGTTAAGATATCTTACTCTGTAATGTCGGTCGTAATTCTAAGACGATCGTTAACAAATTGACACACTTTTATAGCTCCGAAATAAAAGTGTTTTTGAGGAAAAAAATTTGGTCATTAAAATAAATTTAAAGCTGGAATTAAAGTCGTGCGGGCCCGCCGTAAAGGGATCGACACACGGCCGCTATGCTCGTTTAATACCACCGGTTACTGAGCGGCTACCTACATATTACTGGACCGCATATTAGTAAGTTTATCTTGGACACGTACCAGCTTCTAAATTTAGTTTTAGTCATGTCAAAGTGCGCTTCTAATTCTGTAGACAATTTAGATTAAATTTACAAAATGCAATCACTACATTTTTCCTTCTCTGCATGCGGGAACACTCGCAGATGGTATAACGACTCGGCTATTGGCCGTTGACTTATATTAGTCGTTATCTCGAGAAGTCTCCGCATGTGTAGAAGAGTGGTTCCTAACCTCTTGGTAATAATAACTCGCGTTATACCGTGCAGAAAAAATCCCCAATAATAAAAATCATAAAGAAAAATTTAATAAAAGAATAAGAAAACAGTTTCAATTTAAGCGTAAATAAAACGATAATATCATTGGCGTACCTCGAGATAACTTTCAGGAGGAACCGGATACACACCACGCGGGAGATGGGCTGAAAATCACGAAAAGGTTAGGAACCACTGATTTAGAGCGAACAATGAAAATTTGCATTCGCATTCGCTCCGAATTCGCAGAACCGCTCGGTGTGTTGACACCTTTAACGAGAAATACTGGATCGGGTCAGTTAATTTAACGCACGTTCAATCTGAAATTTTTTAACACAACCATTTGCGATTCAACTTTTTAGTTCGTATATATATTTTTTTATAATTTATAAACTTCTATATATAATAAAAATATTTGAAAGAATTTTCTTGGTATACTCTAAAGAACCTAATTCTCACTGCAGTAATTCCCGTAAGAAATTAAGCAACTTTCGCAATGGCGGGTATTCAGATGGGTAACCAAAAAATGTTATCTCTAGTTCCCCTGTGATTCGTGCGCGTTGACACTTGTCACTTTAATGGTAGCAGGTCGTCAACCTGTTACCTAATAGAAACATGACTCATAGACTGAGAGCTCGCGATAATAATGTACAAGAGTTTTCTAACGGTTGATACTAAAGTATATTTCTATAGTGTTTCTTAGTGCTTCTGCACTAACGGTTGATGCTAAAATATATTTCTATAGTGTTTCTTAGTGCTTCTGCACTAAGGGTATATAATTACAAACAAGGGTACATTACTATTACAACTAAGGGTATATTACTCCGTGCAAGGGTAAGTGCTTGAACACCCGGTGGCGTTGCGCTAAGTTGTATGCAAAATAAAATGACAACACGCAGCAAGACCTCCGCATTGGGTACTGAGTAATTACTTACACCCTTCAGTGTTCGCTTATACTCAAGTATAACGTCCGAACACTTTATTATAGATTTACTCTCCAAACGTAACTGGCCGCTTATAATTATAAAATAGCATTCGCGTCAGCTTTAACTTTACTCTGTTTTTTTCCAATGATCTTAAGGATAACATTAGCACATTATTATCACGAGCTCTTGTACTAACAAGTCAATACCCTCGATACTTTATAAATAAAATATCCCCCTAGTTATTAAATAATTATGTTAATCAATGCGAATAATTAATATTGCATTGGAAGTGAACAACTAGTAAGGACCAAAACATGCTTTATCTAAATTAATATCTCTTAGGTATATGTTAATTATAATTACAGATTAAATAACATTAACCTCATAGCTAGGTACAATAATAAAATATGATTGAAAACGTGACTGTTTTTGTTTCAAGTAGGTACACATTATATTTTATAAAATTTTGATAAAGACTTAGATAAAGCATGTATTCTTAATTTTGTGAAACAATGTCCTTGCAAAATTTGAAGTCGGTTGGATCAGGGAATCATTTTCACCCCCTTAGGGGTAAAATTCGAAGAACACACCCTCCAAGTTTCAGGTGTCTAAGGCCAGCTGTTTAGGCTGTGCTGATCTGTCAGTCAGTTATTGAGAACATAACATTTTATAACAATCAGTTCGCTTAGCAATTAAAAATCAATAAACCATTAATAGTAATGTACAAATGGTTTATTGATCCTTTATTTTATTATAATAAAAAATATATTACATTTCTAGACTATCACTGTTTTTCATAAATAACCCAGCACTAAATAGTCACTTTTTAATTAAATGCAATCACAGAAATCTATCACTTTAAAACAAAATGAACTCGTTTATATATTTCAGATTTGGTCTTCATTATCATATTACTATTATGAGGCATATTTCAGTATAATTTATTATTATTTGTGGGTGAAAGGCAATCTTGAAAACTTATTATCCAATTAGTTTTTTTATAACTTTATGAAACAACAGTCTGAAACTGGAACGACTGCCTATGAACTATCTACATCAAAATTCCGACCAGTATCTATAACCGCATCCAAAAACTGACCATTGTCTAATTGCCACGATATTTATATTATTAAATTAGATTTTAAATAGTTCAATACATTTTAAAACAACAAAGAATTTCTAATTGGAGGCGCTTTACCCACTGTTCGACCACTTGGTCGAAAACTGCGTCTAGGTCCTTTATTTAGGACTATGGTCCCTCATTTCAATAGTTTATGATGATATTTACTTTTAAATATTATTAATTAACAGAGTAGATGTCATAAATATAATAAGAAGCAATTGTTTTAGCAAATTTATCACAAGGACGTATAAGACGCTGTCCGCTGCATCCCTCAGATTCATGGGTCATTTCTCGCTTATTATAGCTTCGTTTCATCATAGATGTGTGTATATGAGAGTGATCCAGGTTGGCATATGTTCGAGTTTTGGAGACTGAAGTTAATCAACATTACTATTATGTCTTTTTTATAGAATAATGACCGTTTAGTGGTCGAAGATTAGAGGTGGTCGAAAATAGGCGGCGGATGATAACAGGCGCATCGACCCTACTGCGTTGCGAGTGAAAAAACCGGCCAAGTACAAATAAGACTCGCGCACGGAAGGTTTCATACCATGGTGTATAAGAAAAAACGCAAAATGAACATATGTGGTATGGGAGCCATCTTTAAATATTTATTTTATTCTGTTATTTCGTTTTCCAGACGGACAAACCGAGCCTTAGTAATAAAGTCCAGTTGGTACCCTTTGGGTCTGGAAGTCTGAAAATAGTCGTAGATATAGTTTCTTTGCACATACTGAATTTTGTGATTTATCCTGATAAACGACATTTTAATTCGAGAGAATTATATAGGAAAAGAATTTAATTCTAGAGAATTTAATAGAAGAAGTGAAACGGCGTTTTAATTCTAGAGAATTAAAACGCCGAAGGGAAGATAACTGAATTACTGAGACTTCGGTAAAGTGTACTTATTATATTATATCAGCGCTTCGGACTCGCTGGGGGCCCGCAAAATTATGGACCCTTAGAATGTGCGCTCAAAAATTGCTACAATCCCAAATTCAATGTCTACCTATCTTTTAGCTATGACTCGGCCGGGAATCGAGCACATTTTTCGGTTAAATTTAGACTAGAGCAACTACATTACAAAATACAATTCCAACACTGAGAAATCAAAAATATCTACTTCATAAATTTAAATAGCTGGGTAAATTACATTAAGTGAAAAAAATGAGTAGAACTATGGCAATCAAACCGAACGGGACAGTGCCATTACCTACCGCTGATAGTTTACCTAGGATCAAAGGTAGAAGATAAATACTAAGTTAGGACTTACGTTAGGCTAAAGGAGAATTGAAACCGAAATCTCAGATAAGAGCTCTTATTAGAGATCACTAAATACACACATACATACATAATTATGTAATAAATAAATAATGTATCTTAATTAGGTACCTTCAGGTGCGCTATCATTGTTCTTCTCGCTGCTTGTGACATTAGAAATAGTCTGCATACGACGATAAAAAAAATCAAACAAACAAATTAAAAAGAAAACAATCAGGTATTACAAATGAACCCGTTCAATCGTCCGGTTACTTATATTCTTTGGCATTATTCCGTCACAAAATATATTTCCGTAGTCAGAGTTCTAATTAAAAAAAAAATTGAAATATATTATAAAAAGAAACACTCAAAACAACAACACAAAACAGAACTATCGTCCAAACACAAAATAGTCCGCGCGGTAACAGTTCGTAAAGCGCCGCGATCGAAAGCGTTCGAAATTTGAAATTCGGAACGCGACTGACACGTCTTGCGAACGCGCGCCGCCGACACACAATGCTGGCAGATCGAAGCGGGCCGACAATACGCGCGCGCTACAATAACCACCGCCCCCCGCCCGCCCCGCCGCACGTGCGACAAGGACGCACCGAGCTAATGTCAGTGCCCTACGAACAATGCCAACCTTCGAAGGCCTTTACACCTCAACAATGAATCGAATTAAAAAATCTAATCTCAAACACGTAAACCTGCATATGAAACGTGATGGAAAATTCAAAAATTTCAATACGTTCTATTCAAAGTTGCATTTACAATCAATTGTCTAATGTGGAATAACAGCTTTCATCCCGCGGAATCTATACAAAGACCGTTCAGCCCATCCTTTTCTAGCGGGCGATGTTCGCAGCGAGCGAGGCGCTCTCTCCCTCTCGTGCGCATTCTTCGCGACTAGGCGAGGCTGTCTCGCTCTAGGCTCCGCCCAGGCAAGGCTCGGGCGATCGCACAGTGTGCGTACATCAGTGAATAGCCGGACTATTGTGAAACGATTTTCGCACACCACAATGCCAGTCAGGTGGGTGTGCGCTGAATCTATGAGGGCGTTTAAAAAGTCAATACAATCTCTGTTACGTTTGCTGAGAAAAAATTTTCTTTCTTACCACACAAACGAATTTCACTGGGCGTTGTATTGTGGCGCGCGAGGCGTGGCCAAAGGAAAACGCTCTATTGTACCGACGGACTGGATTGTGCGATTGGCAAAGAACTATTGTTGACAGGGATTTCTCACAGAACTCGTCCCGCGATTGTGAAACGCGACGCCGAAATTATTCATGCGTCCGGCCCGTCTTCAAAGTAATTGTACGGTTGTGTCAAAGTATAAAAAAAAAACTTGTCTCCGAACAGCTGTGTGAATATTTTCGTCTCTTTATCTAATAACATACAGGGGCTATGACATGTAGATAAAGAATACTTACCCTTTCAGGTAGCCGTTTAGGTTTAATTATTGACTTATCTATCGTAGAAGTTAGGCGTTAAGGTAAGTAATTAAACAACCATTTATCGACACTTAGACATCTATCTTTACGCTAACGGACTTCACAAGGGACAACCGATAGTATCTACCCGATAAGTAATAAGAAAAAAATAAATTTATCTGTATATCTTTTTGCATACCAAGAATAGAGCAAACGGCGTAGTACTTTCATGTCTTAATTAGTATATTTTTCTGTCGGTTTTTTTTTGTTAAGAAAAAATTTCAAGTCTAGTTAACTAGATAATTCAAACATAAAGCATCTTGAATAATTCGTTTCTTACATGAAATAACAAGGAAGAACTATCGTAACGTTTTATTATTCTGAGATAAAATTAGTCTGTCGTTTTCTTTTTGCTTTTACTCTTTGTCTCCTTTTATTTATTATTACTCCAATCTATAAAAAAATCTATGAATAAATCAAAGATATTTCAGTAAAAGAATTTATGTTAATGTCTGTATCCTTAAACGTTTAATATTATTGATATATGAATAGGTATTATACAAGTATTTATAGATGGCAATGCCATCCATATACATGGAATCATCAACATTGTATTATTTATTACCTATATTTGTCTATGGAATATATTAACATCGATTCAATTTTAGTTTAAGTTTGCTAATTTGTAATTAAAATTCTTTAAGCCATTACAGCTTGCTTAACAAATTCTTACGTTTATGACAATATAATCGAAATCGAATCTGGCATACCGAAAGAGGACCGTGGATTCGTCGCCATAATTTGGAGATCTACACCAGTGTTGCTATCTATAAAAGGGTACATAAATTCATTCAATATATAAATTCACAAAATATATTGCTAGGATAGTGGTACACTGTTAGTCAAAAACTAGCTGATATAGTAACTACCTATATGGACCACCGACGGTGCACACGGCTATAGTACAACGTCTTTAAACTAAGGACAATATGACCCATATCGGAGTGTGGCGCAGGCGTGGAAGAATGTATGTCTCGGGGTGCAACCACCCCCAGCCCGGTGGGGTATTATCTGCCACGGGGGGGGTGGGCATAACCCCCCAACCCCCATGCTAGCTTTTATTAGCTGTGTTTCTTCGGAACACCGCATTTTGTGTAATCACTCGGTGCGCTTCAATAGACTACCGACTCCGGGAGATGTCTGTAAAAATTTGGAACCCATCGGCATTTTGTTTGTGTTTACAAATAAGCTCCTTCATTTAATAGTATAGAAATGGGTAAGCTCTATAGGCCTTAGATGATTACGTTTCTATAGACTGGAATTAATTTGTGTAAATAAAAGTAAATATGAATTCAATATAGGTAGGTAGGTTTAACACTGTAGATTCTGTTCCCAATTCCAATAAAGTTCACTAAATTAAAAATCGAAATACATTAGACTAGAAAAAAAAAACATTATTATATAATCTATAGTTGATTCCCAATTTCGTACGAGGTTTTGTTTTTCTATTCAATAAAACTCACTGAATAACCTATGGATATCGGTTAAATATTTAGTTTTAAAGTTTAGATTTTGGGATACTTTGCGTATGTTATTAGTTATTCTTCTTGCAGTTTCAGTAAGGTATATAAGTAGACAAAATTCTGCACATTTTTATCCCTACACCTAGGTACATTTTTGATTTTTGTTTAGCACTTCATAGCATAATAGTTCATAAAAGTCCTTTCATTTAGTAGCAAATGATGTCTTGAATTACACGTGTTTCACGAAGCTATATGATATTACGCTCGAAGTGAAATTTCCAAAGTCTCGAACCCCTAACCTTAATGAAGGTTATCGGGAAGTCGCAACCGATGCGAGGTACGGCAATTACTTGATTGGTTTTTGGTGTTTTGTTTGTATACAAAGGTTTGATAGCAAAGAGGATTAAACGTAGTTAGAATTGAGTGTCTATTAGATTAATTTCAATAAAGTTTTGTAAAGGTAGATTACTATCAGCTGATACGTTATTAGTATGTGATTTTTTTAATTAACTGGTATAAATATTATATTAAAAAATAGTTATTATAAATATAATTATAAGAACAAAATGTTGTACCTGCAATGTCATATAAATCAATATTTAATATAAAATAAATCACTCATAAATGCTCAAGTCACATGTTATCCTTAGAACTGCTCTTTGACTATTTATTAAAGTATGATTGGTTGAGTACGTAACCTACTTATAACATACGTCAAGACGTCTCGTTAGAACGTAACACTAAATATACATACGCCCAGATGCTGACCACGATGAAGTTAAAAAAGAATCCGCTCTAAACAGAAGCGGAAATGCCACAATGAAGCGAAAGCGGATTAGATTCGAGGCGTATCTTGTGAAATTAGGGTTAGCAATAGTTATCTTATTACAAATCACTGTACTGCTGTTTCTGGGCTCTATGTACATTGAAAATAAATATACTTTGGAATAGAAAAACGATAAACTAACCTATATATCCCAATTATCAAAATAAGCTGGATTTTTCAAAGCCTAACCTGTGCTTATGCATTGTCTTGTCTCAAAAACCTAAGTTTTATTATTTTTAAACAACGCAGACAAAGTTGTGAACTGAAATCTAGTCTAATTTTATTCAAATTATGACGATCTTCATTTATTATGTCATTATAAGAAGAAAAAAAAACTATATTTTTCCTATTATTTCTTGATCAAGTTGCCAGCCCTGCTTTAAATAGATAGTGCGGACGCGCTAAGTGACGCCAATTAGCTGTATAAAGGTGCCTCCGCTGACGGTGGGCGCGCTGACAAACGCTAACCAGCCATTATGCAGCCAGCAGCGGCCATTGACAACGGCACTCTTGTACGCCCGGCCGTATTAAACGATTAACCGTTGGATTTCTTTTCAGTGCTATTGGAAGGGTTAAATGCTAATAAGTCGATTAGGTCGACTTGAGTTGATTGCATCCGAAGTTTGATTTGTGCGATGATCTAACTAGACAACTAAGTATATCTCGCTGTAATTTTTTTATGTGTTTTACTAAGTAGTATTTGAAAAAGATTTGGTTGATTGGCGACTAGCGATAAAATCATATATGCAATTTAAGTGAATAAAATAATAGCTTACTAATATAAACAGTTATGAATGAAGGAATTTTTTCCAATAAACTGGGAAACATAGGTATTTATTTACTTATAAATCTATTATAACGAATTGTTGCTGCCATTATTATGTAACTTTTTTATGGATTTGCCACTGATAATAAAAATTGATTACTCTAATTATGCATGCACTTTACACTGGTAGATGCTTTTTTAGAGAAGTGGATTTTCATCTGTTTTAAAATAATTGTATTTAATTATAAATATAATAGTATTTACTGATACTAAAATCTATTCAAGTAAATAAACATGTATATAATGAGTGTCTCCTCATGACTTCCCATAGTAGAACTAAAATTTAATAACTATCATAATTACAAAGATGGCACGAAAGATCAAAGCCTTAAGATCGTTAGCGTGTAAAAGCATATTAATCAGATATTTCATAAAGTACGACGGTTACTATTATCCGCTTGCCTACTTTAATACAAGCGAACGTTATTAGATGGATGGTGTTATGCAAAGTCGATCCAAAGCCTAGGTAAACTTTTGTCTTACCCATTTGAGATCAGACGTCGCCGTCGCATCAGCACGATTGCTTAAAATAAATATAAAAAGAGAATATTATTTTTTTAAATTTCCACACGAGGTAAGAAAGTTAATCTTATGGTTTCTTTCATGTTTTTGCAATAATAAATATAAATTTATTTAATATATAAATCTACTCAAAGGTAATCAGTTTGACAAAATAATTAGAAATAAATAGGTTCATTTAAAATTTTAAATTTTCATTTGAGTTTATCATAAAATATCTAAATTTCTAATTAAAATAACATTTATTGAATAATTTTCCTATATTGTCTCGGGTCATTATGCTTTAGCTACTTAATTTGGAATCTGCGAAATACACCTATAACATTTATTCAGACAATTCAGACTGAAGTGTTTTAAATAATCTCATTTGAATAAAACTGTTTTTACTTTA